TCGGATTGAGAAAACAACCGACCACAGAAGACAAAGGCATCATACAAAGGACTTTACAAAAAATTCAGCAAAAATACCACACAAATACAGCAAAAATTAAAGCAAAATTACAACAAAAATACAAGTCAAGCCATCAAAAGACACAACGAGGAACCACCCTGGGAGGGACAGGTGCACACAGGGATCCCCACAGAGGGACCCCCGAGACGGTGCCTACCTACGACGAGCGCAGGCAGACACCGCCAAAGTGGCGCTGGATGTGGTCAGCGTTCATCTGATGGACCAGCGCCGCAAAGCGACCCTTCCACCGGGGAACAAAGGCCTCATCCAGCCCCGGCTGGTACACACCACGGGCCTCGGCGCAGCGGGCGAGCTGACCAAGCAGATCCACAAAGGAGGAGGCGAACCCACCGGTTGTCGTCATCGCCGCAGGGACGATCAGAGTTTTTCCATGGTTGAAACCGGTTTAGTAGTCGCGCTTCTCCTTTTCGGCTCGGCGAAGGGCAGCGCCCACCTTGATGCAGGCTTGCGAGGTGGTCGGGGGTTGGGCTGTGCGCACAGTCACGTCAATGCCCAGGTCGGGCAGAGCTGGGCCCAGGGTACCGCCGGGAAAGGGGTTGCGGCAGTGCAGGTCGATGCGGCAGCTCTGACCGTTGGCGTTGTAGCCAGACTTTTCCACCCAGACATGGGAGAGGGTGGCGTACCTGAGCAGGCGGCCCATCTCGTCGCGAAGGGCGTTGTGACGCTTGATGGGACGGCAGGTCAGCAGGTGCTCGCGGGTCAGTCGCGGCTGAGGTGTCTTGCTGCTGCAGAGCGGGCACTTGTCCGTCGGCTTGACGTTGATGAGTTCATGGAGGCCAAAACCCATCATGGACACGACTGCAATGGCAAAGGTCGTGTCGCTCAAGCGACGCAACTTGTCCCGACCCCGCATGGTCAAGACAGTGCTGACGCCCCACTCACGTGAGGCCAGATATGCCTGCTGCAGGTCCAGCGCACACTTGGCCATCAGGTCGTCCAGTGCCGCCTTGGAGCGGAGGGCAATGATCTCCGCTGGTCGCTGGGTCGCCGCGTCCTTGACCGTGGCCATCGGAAGCCGGCCC